ATACAAGCAGGAGTAAGATAATATAGGAGGAGTATGACACTCCAAAATACGTGAAATTCAACATTTGCTTGCCTAATTTTACCGATGATATATTACGTGCAACTCGATAAAAATTACATCTAAATTAGCGTTGAACATCCACCTCTCACTCAAACTTTACTTAGTTTTCATACCTCTTCTTTTTATGGAGATGTAGCTTTGAACGTCACACATGGTTCATAGCTTTTGACTAGGCTTGTGGCTTAGCTTTCCTCGCCTTCCTAACTGTTGTTATGCAGTGTGAGGAATGGTCTCTTGTCTGTTCACAAGAATGCCCCCTGTTGGCGGTTACGGTTACACGTACTTTCAAGCCCCCCATCGCACCCCGCTTGCCACCAAGCCTAGTCAAAAGCTATGAACCATGTGTGACGTTCAAAGCTATATCTCCATAAAAAGAAGAGGTATGGAAACTAAGTAAAGTTTGAGTGAGAAGTGGATGTCCAACGCTAATTTAGATGTAATTTTTATCGAGTTGCACGTAATATATCATCGGTAAAATTAGGCAAGCAAATGTTGAATTTCACGTATTTTGGAGTGTCATACTCCTCCTATATTATCTTACTCCTGATTATATGTATATATATATATATGGTTTGTATACGATCTACACTATCTGGGGAGGGAATGGCTGGATGAACCTAATTCTGATCAAACTTTTTGTTTGTGCATTTGCAGTCGTGTGTCAGGCACCCAGCAGCCAGCAGAAATACCAGGACAAGTACCTGGAGTGGTGCCGGGAGTTCGAACGATACAAGCGTGAGATGGCCAGCTGGCAGAAACTCAAGCAGACCTGCAAGCAGCGATAGGGACTGGTGGCGCACCCTGCAGGCAGCGATAGAGGTCGGTGCACCCCCTGCAGGCAGCGGTAGAGTTCGGTGTCGCCACCTGCAGGCAGCGATAGGGTCTGATAATGCCCCCTGCAGGCAGCGGTAGAGGTCGGTGTCGCCACCTGCAGGCAGCGGTAGGGTCTGGTAATGCCCCCTGCAGACAGCGGTAGGAGAGTGGTGGCACCCCGTGAAAGCAGTGATAGAGATTAGTGGCGCCCCCTGCAAGTTGCACCAATGTCGCTGAAGAGGGCGTGGAACTATGAGCCGTGAAAGGGATGCCCCCTTCATGATGTCATGTGATAGCAGCCTGAGAGGGCGTGTCGACACTTGTCGTGTAAACCCTTGCGAGTAGCGCCCCCTGCACGGCACAGAAACATCGCATAGCGGCGCACGAACTGTTGCATCGCAGCAGTGTACTGGCAAGTACTGCCTAGTAACCATATTAACGACGTGAACGAAGGAATAACGTCAACGGAGCGAAAGTCTACATGGCATGCGACATATAACGGCATGCGAGCCGCCATCCCCCGCGTCAGCTGACAATAATGCCGACAAACTGTGAGATTCAACCACGCGGTCGGACGCCAGGTGGAGCCACACGGCGTGTACATACTAGATGAAATTATTTCACGCGCGACGTGCGCGTAACGGTACGATAACGACGTGCGATCAGCCGACGTTACTTGTTACCGCAAAGCTGTCCTTGTGCGACGAAACCCTTTCTGTTATTTCTGTTAACCTTGCTGCTGCGGTGATGGGCGCTCGGGCAAACACACACGTACTTATCCCTGAGTTGACTAGATGTGATCGTAAATGCGGTTGCATTTCGCAGTCGGGTACGTGCGAGCTACCGCAAGCAAGCGGTTTCAACTTGGCGCCGATTTTTAGTTTTCTCATATACTCACGCTACAGGACCGCGCGGTTTGTCAACTTATTTTACGGACAATTGTCCGGATGTGTTTTTCGCGTGCTTTTCTTTTTCGTCGTGTTCGGCCGGGTTAGAAGCGTACTTGGTATTATTTATTTGTACATAAGTGTGCGCACGTGCGCTGCGAGATTGTGTTGTTGTCATGTGACTCGCTCTGTAGTGAGCCGCGGTCATATACTGTGATCAACTGTACGTTATCTTATCTGTTGTAATGATATATAGTAATGCTTATAATAGTGCCACGCGGAAATTAATATAATATTTACATTGATAATACGATTTCCGATGTAACATTAATGTAGGTGAATAAGGAAGTCTACTAAACGTGCAAAAACTCTCCCACGCCGTGGGCTTCGCACATAATAGTGTTTCTACACAGTGAGTACAAAGTTTTATGACTCTGAATTAATTTTTTTTTATTTCTGTTCATCGATAATGTATGAAGCGGATACGATGACTGAAAGAGCTTTGCTTCATGCGCACCGCGTGTATCTATAATGCTCCTGTATCCTTGGGTTGCTAATATATATTAGTTCATAATCAGACCTAGAAGTTCACGTTGCCACAGCACGGCAAAGTGTGACGTCGTGGTAAAAGTGTGACGATATGGCAAAGGTGATGTCATGCCAAAGAGGTGGTGTTATGTTTAAGGTGTGACGTCACAGAAAAAAAGTATGATATCCCATTGTCATCAGTTACAGTTCAACCTGGTGCACGGATGAGATCTGCTTGATGCGCGGGAAAGATATCTATGAGTGTTGTGCACGAGGTAGATATCTATCCAGGTTTCACACATAGATATCCTATAATACATGTAATATAATATGTATATAGGTATCTTATAATACATGTAATGTAATGTGTATATAGATACCTTATAATACATGTAATGTAATGTGTATATGGGTATCCTATAATACATGTAATATGTGTATGGGTATCCTAGCTAATCCATACATGTAATATAATGTGTATGGGTAATCCTATGAAATACATGTCAAGATAATGTGTATATGGCGTAGCCCTATAATACATGTAATATAATGTGTATGTAGGTATGGTATAGATACATTCAATATAATGTGTATGTAGGTAATCGGTATAATACATGTATATAATGTGTATGTAGGGTATCTTTATCGGTGATTTATCACGTGCGTGGCGGCCAGCACATATCTGTATACGGTTGTGTTAGAATCAATATTGGCAATAAACATCATATTATGAGAATTATTGTATATCTGTTGGAAATCGGTACGCCCGCCCCGTTCGCATTTCATGCACATTATTATTGACTTGTTTTGCAAGTAGGCAACGTCATAATGACAATCATTTCCGCACGTAACACACTTTTTGTTTTAGATTTTTAACCGTACACAGAAACTGTCACTGCCATGATTCCTTTAATGCCACAGAAACAAATGAAATATAGTAGTCCAATCATGAACTAGTTGTTCAACTCATACCAAAAGTTCTAGCTACTCTCTTACGGCAAAATCTTACACGGACTCCTACTTCAATATCTCTAAGTAAGCTTTCATCTGTTTTTTATTATATTACCTTCTGTATGTGTGGCTTTTTAATGAGTTTGTCTGAAAGAACAGTGCACTGAGAGCAGTGAACATGACAGTGAACCAGTGTGCAAGCGATTCCCACGAGACAGATGGCAGCAGTAGCTTATATCCTCTGGACGTATAAGGATTTTTCTTCGCGTTAAGTTCCTGAGATACTTTTGTCTCTTCTCCGTTACATCCTTACGCTGCTCTCCTTACCTAAAAAACCCCAAGGGCAGCGAGCTATGAAGATTGCTATACTAGACAAACATAGACAGATACACCACATATGCAGCGAAATAGAGCCGATAAACATCGGATCAGCCATTCAGGAATCAGAAAGACCTCTCCGGTTATCTTCTGTACGCGCTTAATAGATTCCATCGTTCCTGTCTAATTGATGAGCACGTGACAGCACTAGTATGTGACGTCACGTACTATATCGAGGCTCTCCACTGGCCATGCCTGAGTTCCTCCGAGACTCCTTCTCGCTCTGCCGCCGCTTTCTGAGTGTGTGTTTGGCTTCATCACCTCGTCACCCAGCGTGGCGTGAGAAAGGGTCTGCCTTCATACTAACACACAACAACTGTGTAATATATAGGCATAATAGACACAGGCGCATCCACGTTCCACGCGCGCGCGACACGCACACCACACACACACACACACAGACCACACCACACACACACACACACACACACACACACAACACACACACACACACACCACACAAGGACAGCACACACACACACGAGCACACGCACCCCGCACGCCGCACGCACGCACGCCACAGCGCAGCGCGCGCGCGCGCGACCGCGCGCGCGCGCGCGTGCTGTAATGATACACAACGACGTAATACGCTGCAATGTTATGGAGATGCATAATATATACATATATATATATATATAGCAAGTCAGGTATAGAATTTTACAACTGCTGTATTAAATGTGTATTAAATGTGTTTATAATGTATTCTATAGCTTGAACTTGTTTTATTACACCGGAGTTGTTCGGTGTGTGACTTTATTCTCTCTCTCCTCTATATATGTGTGTGTGTGTGTGATGTGTGTGTGTAGTGTGTGCGTGTTGCGTGCGTGTGTAGTGTGCGTGTGTCGCGTGCGTCCGCGTGCGCGTGCGTGCGTGCGTGCGTGAGAGCAGTAAGAGGGCAACAGATCGTGGTGGCGTGGTGCGTGGCGTGCGTGCGTGCGTGCGTGCGTGGTGGTGTGTGTGTGTAAGAAAACTCACAGTCTTATTGTGTTTTCTCTCGTTTGCGCAGTTTTAGCAATCCTCCTAAAAAAAAGTACAGTATAAGAAAATCTAGATCTAGGAATGCGTGCTCGTTAGTACGTCTATTCGTTTCACAATTTCTTATTAATTAATG